TTATTAAAAGGTGCTTGGAGGTAATGGCTGCATCTAAACAGGTGAATCAGCGGGAATTCTGTATTAAGAATATCTAGTCTCATGCAAAATTTACTTTTTAAAAAAGATGATTGGTATTTTTTGATATTCCTCTGGACGTGGTTCACATAATAAATACAACTTTCTGCCAAATTCAGTCATTCCTAACGGCAGTAGTATGTTCCAGATCAATAATATGCTGACAGAGAAATGCAACTTTATGCAGTTGATGAGCACAAAGTTTGAAGAAACTCATTTCTTTGCTCTACAGTCAGAAGGCAAGGTTTTAATCATCCATCACCAAAACCTGAAAGATGTGTAGTTAGTTACTCCCTAAAGAGCAGTTTGATAAATTAATAGCTGTGCTTTAATTCTTAATTCCAGTTCACCTTTATGACAAAGCAGCTGTACTCCTAGAATGTCTTTGCATCTATCTGCCCAGGGGAACAAATAGGAGAAACACAATACATTTTTCCTTTATTTTTTTTTCCTTTTACTTTACAAGTTCAGCTCTGCTGTAGCCCAGAATGGTTTTGTTTGGGGTTTTGTGATTTTTGAGGCGCTTTTTTTGTGTGCACATATATATGTATATGTGTGTATGTGTTCTAAATGACACTGTCTAGACTTCCTATAAACCATGTTTCAAAGCCCCAGCTCTCCTTTCATGCTCTGAGTTCAGAACCTTCCTATTCCTTTTCCTGCCTGCTATTTCCTCCAGAAAGGCTGCAAACCTGAGCTGGTGTGACAACCCCACTCCACTTGGATGTTACCTGTTCTGAAAGATGCCAATAACCTTTACCTGCATCACTTGCTCCTCTTTGCTTCATACCCTTTTCCAGTGGAGTCAGCAAAACCTGCACTACTTCTTTCCAGCTGCATTTTTTTTCCCCTATCCTATCTTCCAGATTTTTCATTAACTGATGAATGAAGTTGCAGGTTGTTTAGGGCAAGGGCTGTGTCTAATTACTGGGGGCCTTGAGCATGTTCTGAGAAGGCTGGAGTCTGCTATTGTGATCTCCTGTGCCACTTGCAGGGTGCAAGCTGACAGAGTTCTTCAGATTTGTGGAAATCCTCTTCCTTTTTACCAAGTCTGGGTGCTTTTGAGAGCGTCAGCAGCATTTGCTGGCTAAGAAACACTCCCAGCTCTCTTGTGGGACTGATCCAGTTCCAGCCAGGCTGGATGGAAGCATGAGCTCTGGGGTAACTGGATTCAGCCTCTAATCTCCATGGAGACGGAACCCCACAGCTGAAGTGGCAACAAACAGTCGGGGGAAAGAAAACACCAAGTAAGGAAACATTTTTCTCCTCTTAAACCCTGCTCTTCATTGTGCTTTCGCTGGATGGCCTAAAACCTTTAGTCCTTTCCACTCTTCCCTATTATTCCCAAACGTTTTGGCAGGATCCAGGGTAGCACCAGGGGAGTGCAGGCCAGCAGAGACAGAGGTAGCGTCCCTACTGACGGACACCACTACACAGCTCTGAAACCGTTCATTTTTGCTCTACGTTACTTACTTTTGTCCTTTCTTTAGTCTGTCTCCTTTCCACATCCTCTCTTTAGCTCCAGTCAAAGCCCAGGAACTCACAACACTTGGAGATCAGCGTGATGTTTCCTGTGCTCTGCAGTTCTAGTCTGTGTCTGCATGAAAAACTTGTAGTCAGTTTTAGGCTGACTTTTCATATGTCTAGGTACCATGGCATGTGACCAAACACCAATAATAATGATTTTGGTGCCAACGTTATGTAAATATTTCCTTAATTTTTTCATGACGAACCAGAAATGCCTAAATAGTCCTGCAAATCAGTGTCAAGGCTCAAGTGCTGAAGCATTCCTCCAGGAATTCCTCCAGGAATTCCTCCAGGAGATTCAGTCACAGGATATTTGGCCATTATTAGCACTGTATATATCTTTTATTTTATCCATAACTTCCTAAGCACAGGGTAAGGCTATTCAGTTATTTCTAATGAGCAATATACTATTAAAATCTTATAGATCTTGAAGTTTGATGGAACCCTTCATGTTCTACTTGCATTTATAATACCAGATCTACGGGAAGAAATAAAGGCAGAAGGAAAAGGATCACTTAAAGAATTAGTTACAGCTTTATCACTTACAAGCTTTTTACCTAAATATAATAGTACTTCTTGTAGCTACAACAACAGCGCTTTGAGAAGGAATAATTAGCAAAGCTGGTAATCAGCAAATGACTAGGCTTGCATAAATACTAAGCCCACATTCTTTGCTTTTGCATCATGGAGTCTGGCGTCATCCTCGTCAGCCCGCCTGACTTCGAAGCAGGCGAGGGGGCTGCAGGACTGTGCAGGGTGCAGTCTGCCGTTGGTTTTGGGAGGTCTTGTTCCCCCCAGACCAGTTTCTCTGGATTCTCACTGGATTTTTCTGAATTTCCAGAGAAACTCCACCAGCAGTGGTGTTGGCCACATAATTCTTGGGTACTGTTTAATTATCCTGTCACTAAGAGAAGCCATCACTATAAAATTTTGTCTCATCTTTGTGTGAGGCAGGGGCTCCATGGCTCAAGAAAAGAGAGAGGCAGAGGTGGTCAGCCCCACAAGTGATCAAGAAATGGGTGAAGACATGGAAGATCTGACAAAAGGCCTGGAGGAACTGTTTGAGAGACCCAAAGAGGAGGACAGCGAGAAGGCTCTGCTTTGTTCGTGCCTAGAAAAACAGCATCAACTCATCTATATACTGAAGAAAAAAGCAGACGATGCTCGCAAACACTGCAGAGACCTGGAGCGGCTCAAGGTGGAGCTGGAGAAACTGAGGACAGAAGATGCTGTGAAAATGAAAAACCAGACCCAACAGATTCAGTATTTGGAGGAACGCTTCACGGAGCTGGCCAACAACCATGAGAAAATGATCCAGTTCAAGGATGAACACGAGAAACAGCACTTGGAGCTGTGGGAGGGGAATAAGCGCCTCCAGCAGAACAAAGCGCTCTTCAGCCAGGCGGTGAAGGAGGAGGCCGAGGTGCTCCAGCTTGTTGCCCAGGCCAGAGAGCTCTCGCAGCAGTTGGAGTCCTTGCAGGAGAAATGTGCTTACAAGAGTCAGAGGGCTCAGGAGCGAGAAAATGAGCTGCTAGAAGCTCAGAGCCAGCAAGCAAATGCCTATGCCAGGGAAGTCAGTTCACTCAAACACCAGCTGCGGGGCCTGCAGGAGAAGCACCGACAAACTGTGGCACAGCTGGAGCAGGCAGAAAGTCAGCGGAGGGCTCAGGGCAACAAGCTGCAGGCCAAGCTGGAGAGGGCGAACAAGGAGAAAGAGCAAAGGCCTTGAAGAGGGGCAAAGCTCTGCAAGACAAGCAACGGAAAATTGAGCAGCTGGAGAAGAAGCTGGAGGCTGCAGAAAAAGCCAGGCAGAGAGCAAGATCGCACCTCGCGAAAGAGGCAGCGGACAAGGATCTGAAAGTGCAAGAGCTCCAACAACAGCTCAAAAGCAGCAAGCAGGCATACGACGAACTCTCACTGCAGTTTGCTGCCTACAAAAAGCACAGTATGGATTTACTGACTAAAGAAAAAGCGCTGAATGTCAAACTCCGTCACTTTATGGTGTAACTGCAGCTTTCTTCTCCATTCTCGTCTCAGCGTATGCCTATGCTGTAACACATGGCTGTGTCTTGGTCCTTTCTGTGGGACCGTCTCCTGATTCCTCTGTAACGTACTTGCCAGCTTAAATCCTCCAACAAGGACTGTTCTGTGGCCTTTTTTTTGTTACACTTTTAGATAAGTAAGATGCCATTAAATCTGAACGGGGTTGGTTGAACTAGGCAAACCTGTGACATGAATGATCAGAGAAAAGAAAATGTAAAATATTAATCTGATTTATTTGGTCCTAACCTCTGCTGTATCATAGATTTTGGGTTTTTACAGTTAAAAGCACATTACTTTCCAAGATGGACCAAAGCTCCAATGCTTAGCCTTTTGCCTTTGATTCTTCTTGAAGTTTAATGGAAGTTGAGCATATTAGAGGTAACATTGTGGCCCCAGGAAAGAAATCCCACCTTACGCTGTCTGTGTTATTGCTCCACTGCTTAGCATCAGTGAAGCAACAGTCGTGACTGGGCAACTTAACAGTTCAAAACAGTAAGATCATACAATACCTGATGCTCGGCGGATGGTTGTGTACAGTCATCTAGTAGTCTAGGGGGTTTCTACACTTGTTTTATTTAATGTCATAGCATTGTTTATCACCCTGTTCAGCTCAAAAGAAATTTTCAAGTCTTCTAGGGGATTTCAACAGTCTTTGAAAGAAGTTGACGTTCTCTCTGTTCCACTAGTTTGTTTTCTGGATTTTAGGTGTTTTCTGTAGAGAAAATAGCAGTGATGCTCCACAACCCACTGCTGTGATGAGCCACAGACATTCTACACCAGTTGGATGGACCATGTCCTTCTACTTTTCAACCATCTTTATCCCCCCCTTACGTGCCCACCCAGGCCACAAACTAAGCCTGTGATCTGAGAGGAAGGAACACGGCAGGACGTGAGTCATGAAGTTGAACAAGTCTAAATTCAAGGTCCTGCACCCAGGTCAGGGCAATCCCAAACATAATTACAGGCTGGATGAGGAGTGGATGGAGAACAGCCCTGCAGAGAAGGGCTTGGGGGTGCTGGTTGATGAAGTGCTTAATGTGAGCCAGCAGTGTGCACTCACAGCCCAAAAAAGCAACCGTGTCCTGGGCTGCATCAAAAGGTGTGTGGCCAGAAGGACAAGGGAGGTGACTGCCCCTCTGCTCGTGTGTGCTGTGTCCAGCTGTGGGGCCCCCAACACAAGAAGGACATGGCCCAGTTAGAGGGGGTCGAGAAGAGGCCCCAAAGCTGCTCCGGGGGCTGGAGCACCTGTCCTGCGAGGACAGGCTGAGGGAGCTGGGGCT